AAACTTTTTAGCACAGCAATGGGGCTTTAGCTCAGTATGGTTCTCAAAAACAGCAATACTAGTAGGCAAAAGAAATATAGAGCTTATGAAAACTGATGAATCTCACGATAGTCGTATTTTATCAGTCTTTATAGAGATCAAACAACAACCATTACAGATCACAAATATCTATGCCTCTCTGTACACAAAGACAGACTCCATTTCTTTGATAACAAGACTCCAGTCACAGCAGAGAACAAAATTTGCATCATAGCTAGAGACTTTAACATGAACCTGAATCCCCAAAATGACAGAATAAGCAATGCTCCTCTACAAGCTAATCGTTCAAGAGAAAAGTAAGAGTTTTTTAAGCCTTGGGTCTGTTGTTCAGACCTTTTACATTTAGTGTAGCAATTTTAAACATGAAAAAAGATAGGTGATTTTGGCTACACTAAGAGGAAGAGTTCTAGTGTTGAGCATTGGGTTTGGATGCATCCTGATAGGTGCTTCCCGAGGTCTTTGAATTTTGTTCAGGGTAAGAGAGGTACTTGTTTTTCTCAATGCTTTTTTCCTTGTTTTTGTTTTTGGGTTTTCTGTGAATAACAACTGTAAAAGAGGGTTCCAGTTTTGCATTGTCTGATATGCTTGGCTCTGTTTGAGTTGACAGTGATTCTTCTTTTTGGGAATCTGGCATAGGTATGTTCGATTCTTTAGCTAATAAGTTGGATTCTGTGTTATATTTGTTCTGTCTAGTTCTGAGTTAGTTGTTGCAACCTGCTTTTGGGGTAGAGTATTTACTTCTATTATGTTTAGTATTTCTTTAGTATAGGGGTTGTCTGGGCTAATCTTCAGATTTGGGGGATCCGATTTGTAGACCATTGGCTCTTTTTTTTGAAGTTTGGCTTCTATTGTGGCCTTGAGTTTGATACATTCTTTTTTTAATGTGGCCTTTCTTTTCACAGTAGTAACATACTTTGGGAGCTTCTTTCCATTCCATTGTTACTTTGTAGTCACCTACATGTGTGTTTCTTGAGATTCTGGACTGTAGATCAGAATCATCTGTTGTTTCAAAAGTGACCAGCCATTGATCTGTGCAGATTTTGGTTTCCTCGAAAAGAAGGGCTTTATTGTAGCAATTTGGCCAACACTCTGAAAAGCTTCAAGGATAAGGTTTGTAGTATGTTTTACTTCGCCCAAAGGTGTGTTTCTGAGCTTTATAGTTAGGAATGAGCATTTTAGGTTTACTGGAATATAACCGAAAAAGGTTTTTTAGAATATGAAGATTCCCTCTGTTGCATATTTTTGCACTTTTTCTTTGTTCTTGAAGACAAGTTCAAGAAAGGTTCTTTTCTCTCTAAATGAGTGGCTTTTGGCTACTATAAAATCTCCTTTAAGTTTGAGAGCTAGGGTTGTGATTACATTATTAGTTGAGATGTTATGTAGATGACTACAAAGTAACAACAAAATGGAAAGAAGCCCCCAAAGTGTTACTACCATGAAAAGGAAAGCCATATTAAAAAAGAATATACTAAACTCAAGACCTCAATAAAAGCTAAACAACTTCTAAAAGAAGCCAAACTTTGAAAAAAAGAGGCAATGGTTCACAAATTAGATCCACCAAATCTGGAGTTTAGACCAGACAACTCCTATACTAAAGAAACACCAGACACGATAGAAGTAGATACTCCACTCCAAAAGCAGGTTGCAACAACCAACTCAGAACTAGACAAAACAAACATAGCACTACAAAGTGCAGAATCCAACTCATTAGCTAAAGAATCAGATATATCTATGCCAGATTTCTAGAAAGAAGAATCACCACTAAGAGCCAAGCACATCAGACAATGCAAAACTAGAACCCCCTTTTACAGTTGTCACTTACAGAAAACCCAAAAACAAAAACAAGGAAAGAAGCATTGAGAGAAACAAGAACCTCTCCTACTCTGAACAAAATTCAAAGACCTTGAGAAACACTTATCAGAATGCACCCAAACCCAATGATCAACACTAGGACCCTTCCTCTTAGTGTAGCCAAAATCATCTATCTTCTTTCATGTTTAAAATCGCTACACTGGATCTACACACACTCTTTTCAGAACCACTAAATTCTGGAACAAGTAACTTATATTTTTAAAAATAACATATACACAAAGGCAAAAAAAGGATAACAAAGGTCTATTCACAAGAGCCACTGCCCTTGTTCCAAGAAAAAGAGATGCTTCTCATCTAGACTCATCAATAACCAACAAAAAAAATAGCCTCTAGCCAAGAGCCTATGCCAAACATTAATAAGAACAACAATGCAAACAAAGAGAACATAGCACTTAATGCTACCAAACACAACAACAATAAGACCCCAACTGAAAAAACAGTTCTACAAGAGACCTCAGCCAACAACTCCCTTAGCTGGAATAAACAAATAAATTTGGAAATTAGTAAGACTAAAGCAATATCTGACAAAGCACAACAAAACAAAGGGAACCTTTCAAAAGAAGCACAAAACCCCAAAACACGTAAAGTCATGTCCACAACTGGCAAAATAAAAACAACAACAATAACAACAACAGAAAGTGATTTAAGCATGTCCAATGTATTTAATACTCATATAAACAGCAAAAACTCAAGTAATACAAACATATCTGGAACAACAAGAAGTAGAAACCCAACTTTGAGTCAATGGTCTAGTTTATTTCCAAAACTCAAGAGAGGCCAATCTACCTACTTAGCATTTTTACCAAAGAATCAAATCAAATCAAAGAACCAAAATGCCCTTGTTATTGAAGCACACAATATTCAAAGCTTATTTAACAAAATCATGGCCTCACTATATAAATATGCCAAACAGGACATTATTGCAGCTAAACAACATTTTAAAAAAATACATATACCCATATCGCAATCATCTTTCAGAATGGAACCAAACTCAAATACTATGCCACTAACGGAGTTACAATTTTTAACAGAACATACTTTGGGTATATTTCTACAGATTTACGCAAATCTTTCCTCTTAGTTAGAATTAGAAACGTTCCCCTAAACAACAAAGACAGAATCTCAGAATGGATTCATGAAGCATTTGAGGAGGTAGAAAAGATTGTAGCAATCAAATCTCTTCTAATCAAAGGCACTACATACCTTTCTGACCAATGGATTATCACCTTCAAAACAACAGATGACCCTGACCTAAAACAATGAATTTATTGGATTACACATCTGGGTGATAACAAGGTGACTGCTGAGTGGAAATCAGCTCCTAAAATGTGCTATTTTTGCGAAGAGGAGGGTCACATCAAGAGAGAGTGTCAACAATTTAAGGAGTCAGTCGCACTTTGGGAAAGCTTTCACAAATACAAACAAGAAAGATTACAAAGAATCTTTGCTGATGAAACACAAACACAGCCCACACATGTAGAAAAGGAAATGGCTATAGATGAGAAATCCCCAGAAGACCAAACATGTTAGAACAGGCTTTACCTGTCCAAGTAGGGGAGATACAAACTTTTGCAGAAACAAACAACTTAGCTTAAGAGGAAAAAATGCAAGAGGTATTACCTGATATGGTAATGGAACCCAAAAGCCAAACAGTGTCAAACCTCCCAATTACAGATAGTATAGAGTCTTTATCTCCAAATACAGAAATCACACAAAAAGACAAACTAGGGATTTTGGAGTACAACTCAGATATAACAACAGAACCCAAAATAGAAAAACTCGCCACCTTGGATCCTAATACAGAAAATGATGGTTTTACCATGGTCTCATATAAAAAAAAAAAGAAAAAAAAACAAAGACAAATTAACTCTTAAAGAAGACACAGTTAGACCCTCCCCTTATAAGAAAGCAAAAAAAGAGAAAACAAGAACTCCACTAGAGAGCACACTACAATCTTTTATTTCATGCCCCCAAAGTCTCAATCTAAAATTTGCAACACTAAATGTCAAGAGGTTTAATGATAAGAGTAAACAAAAAAAACTTTAATTTTACTAAAATCTTACAAATTAGACATCATCATGTTACAAAAAACCAATCTAAGCAATATAAATACTCAAAACTTCCTAAAGCTCCAATGAGGATATGACTCAATCTGGACTAGCAAGACAACAATTCTGGAAGGAAAAAGGATATACTCTTCGAAAATATTAAAGTTGAACTAGACGACAGATTAATCACTGCTAACTTCAAATACAGAGAATACCAGTTTCAGATTAGCAACATCTATGCATCCCCAAACATTGCAGCCTGAGTCACTTTTTTCAACAACTGGAAACCAGAAATCAAAAAAAAACATTATTAATATTATAGCAGGAGATTTTAACACAAATCTGAACCCAGAAGTAAACAAAGTGAGCCAGGCTATGCCCCAAAGAGACTCTACAAGAACCCAACTTGCTAATACAATGAACAACTTTATTAGCACTGCAGATCTCTTGAACAAAAAACATTTCTTACATTCTTCCAAAACACCCAAAACAACTAATCTATGGCAACTTGTATAGACTACATTTTTATTGAAGATAGCTATAGCCACCTGATCTTACATGTAAGCACAGAATTTGGAAACTCGGATCATCTCCTCATAAAATGTATAATAAGCTCTGCACAGAAAATTAAAAACTCTTCAAACTGGAGATTCGATTCTAACTTGTTTAAAAACAAACTGCTAAGAAAAGAAGTTCTCAAAGAATTATTAGAAGAAAACACCCCATCAAACTGGGACATGTGCAAGATCAACATCCAATCAATAATAAGAGCATTTAGAAAAACAAAGTCACCTAAGAATAGAATTGTAATGTTGAACAAAAAGCTCACTAGCCTAAAAGAATTAATGCCAGAAATACAACAAGAAGCTCATATACAAGTTCTCTGAAGGAGCTAAATCTGCAATTACAAGATAAAATAACTGCTCTAGCAGAAAGGTGGTTAATAAGATCCAAAGCCCAGTGGATTGAAAAAGGAGAGAGGTCAACCAAATACCTCTTTTCCAGATACAAGATCAGGCACTCACACTCCACACAATCAGAAATCAAGCCACTACCAACAAATAGTCAAAATAAAGAAGATATCCTGGAATATATAAGAGATCAATATGCAAAAATATATGAGCCAGAAAAGATCAATCTTGAAGCAGCAGAAAAAATCACTCAAGATCTTTCTAAGATTTCCCAAGAGTTAAATAAGCTATTAACAAAACCAATCACTTCCAAAGAAATTAAATATATCATACAGGATCTTTCAAACAACAAATCTCCAGGCTTAGATGGTTTATCCTACTGGTTCTACAAACTAGTAGTCAAAGAAGTCTCCTTAGTTCTAGAAAAAGTTTTCAACAAAGTTCTGGATACTGGGTTACTTCCCTTATCATGGTGCAAAAATCTAATTGTTCTAATCCTAAAATAATTAACAGATCTCAGTGATATAAATAATTGGCACCCCATTTCTTTGGTTAACTCCGATGCCCTAGCAGGGGTTTGTCGCAGGAAGGTTAATTACCAATGCTGCTTTAGACATTATAACCACTCTACAAAACCAAACAGATAGTACAAAGCAACACTGAATGCTTTTTGTTGATCAACAAAAAGCTTTTGACCGATAAATCATAATTTTATAAACTTTGTTCTAAACAAGATGGGCTTTGTACTAAAAGTAACCAACTTAATAAGAAATCTCTTCTCAAACCAAACTGCATACATTCTGAAGGGCAGAATTCTATCTATTCCAATTGAGGTGAAAAGAGGAGTTTGCCAAGGAGACCTCCTCTCCCCACTATTATACATTTTAATACTAGAGCCTCTACTTATACAATTGGAAATAAATCTTCAAGAAATCCTACTAGGCAAACAATTTTTTAAAGTAATCGTCTATGCAGATGATCTAACACTAGGGATTGGCTCACTGACAAACTGGGAAAACACATGCAACCTCTTCACTACATATGAGTTGGCCTCTAATATACAAGTAAACAGAAATAAAACTAAACTTGTCTCTTTGACTAGCATAGCCAGAAACGTGAGATTAGCTGAAGAAAACCTATACAACAAAATACAAGAACAAAACACAGTTAAAATACTTGGTTTTGAAGTCCAAGTTAATGGCACTTCTAAAAAGAACTCATTACCTCAAACAATAACCAATCTCAAAAATAAACTAAATAGCCTAAACAACAGAAACCTTTTCTTCAGAGGGAAAATCCTAATCACCAAAATGCTAATCCTCTCCCAAATATAGTATATTGTGTACTTAGCCCCTCCAAGCAGACAACAGATCACAGAAATCAATAGAATAGTCTCATCATGGATTAAGAACTCTTCAAAGATGCTCCCAAAATACTTGGTCTTCTAATATACATATGAGTTAGGAGGGCTTCAAGCCCCGATAATAAAAAATATGCTAGACGCAAGACTCATTACAGTCTGGCAAAGTCTTCTCTCTGCAGACTCTCTATGGGCTAGCTTTGAAAGAAACAGAATTACCAAAATACTATATAACAAAAGAGGAATATCACTTGAGAAATAGTACAACCAAAGCTTGGCCCAAGGAATGGAAACCCTATTTAAGTGCCTGGCAGAGAATCAAGAGAGTAATTACAGCAGAGTCAGAATGGCCATGGAAAACCAAAGAACTCAAGATTGGAAAACTACCAGGAATAACCTTATAGTAAAAAAAAACCATCAAAGGTTTTAAAGAAAAGGCCAACCCCATACTCAAGCCCAAGCAGAAAATAATATAAACCAATTCAAATGGATAGGTGTGAAGAAAATCTGCAACAAAAGAAAAAATATACTATGGTGCTTATTCCACAAAGCACT